TCTTCGTGCTGCGCCTGGCGTACAGGTGGGGGCTGCGGGCGTCGGGGCTGCGGGGGGCTCCGCGCCTTCCCGGGCCGCTGCTCTGCCGTTTATTAACTCCTCGGTAATTAGGCGCCGCTTAAATCCTTCCTTTATTGCCCCTCAAGTAATTAGTTGTTTAGCTTTTCTCCCTTCCATCTCTTTTCTTTCTTTTTTCCTCTTTCCTCTTCCTCTTTTTCCCTCTTTCTTTATTATCTTTCTTTCTTGTTCTCTTGCTGTCCTTCTCTTTCTCTTTATTTCTCTTTTTCTTCCTTTTCTCCTTTCCCCTTTCTCTCCTTTCCCCTTTCTCTCCTTTTTTGTCTTTCTCTCCTTTCCTCATTCTCTTTTTTGTTTCTTCCCCCTTCTCTTTCTCCCTTTTCCCCTTTCTCTTTCTCTCCTTTCCCCCTTCTCTTTCTCCCTTTCCCCCTTTCTCTTTCTCCCTTTCCCCCTTTCTCTTTCTCCCTTTTCCCCTTTCTCTTTCTCCCTTTTCCCCTTTCTCTTTCTCTCCTTTTCCCCTTCTCCTTCTTTTCTCTCTATTTTCCTTCCCTCTCCCATCCCCTCATCTGTTCATTCTGGGGCTGCCACATCCCCTCCAGGTCGAACCCCGTGGAGGGGAAGCTGATCTTCTGCAATGGGGTGGTCCTGCACCGGCTGCAGTGCGTCCGCGGCTTTGGCGAGTGGATCGACTCCATCGTCGAGTTTTCCTCCAACCTGCAGAACATGAACATCGACATCTCCGCCTTCTCCTGCATCGCCGCCCTGGCGATGGTCACAGGTCCGTGTCCCCCCTTTCGGCTCCCGTGCCCCTGCCCTGTGCCAGCCCTGTAACCCCTCACTCCCTTCTCTTTTGCAGAGAGGCATGGGCTGAAGGAGCCCAAGCGGGTGGAGGAGCTCCAAAACAAGATTGTAAACTGCCTCAAGGACCACGTGACTTTCAATAACGGGGGGCTGAATCGCCCCAATTATTTGTCCAAACTCTTGGGGAAGCTCCCCGAACTTCGCACGCTTTGCACGCAGGGGCTGCAGCGCATTTTCTACCTGAAACTGGAAGATTTGGTGCCACCGCCAGCAATAATCGACAAACTTTTTCTGGACACTTTACCTTTTTAAGACTCTTCCCTTGCACGTGCGGTGACCTGAGGAGACCCTTCCCGGGCCCGGCGGGGCGTGTGGCTGCGCCCGGAGCAGCACCCATGGGTGCAAACCTCCCGCAGGCAGAGCGAAGCGGGCTTTTTGGCTGCGGGGCAGCACGGACGCGGCTCATGGACTACACAAATCCCATGGTATAAACTTTTTATTATCGGCTTATAAATGAGTTTATTATTAAGGACTTCTGATTTAAAAAGGCGATGAACATATCTGGCGGCGCTCAGACTGGCGCGGTGACAAACAGAGCGCTAAGGTGACCCACACGTCTCACCCTCCTAAAGACCAGAAGTTTTCTGCTGTAAAAGAAAGCTGTAATATATCCGAAACCTAAATGTTGCGTGGGTGGCATGTCAGTAAAGAAGGCGAAGGCTTGTAAATTTATCAGACGCAGTTTGGCTTTTTAAAAATTTATTCTGTGCCTATTTATGAGGAAATACGGAAAACAAATCTGAATTAAAAAAAAAATTAAAAATGAAAGCTAAACGTGTTTGCAAAAAGAACAGTAATAAAAAAAAGAAAATAAGGGAGACTAACGAGAAAGGAAACTAACTCTGTCCGTACCAGGAAAGCATGACGACTCTAGGGTGACAATGTTATAGGCACTTGCTATTTCAGTAATGTCTATATTCTATAAATAGTATTTCAGACACTATGTAGTCTGTTAGCTTTTATAAAGACCGGTAGTTATCTAAGCTTCAAACGTTTTCTCAATTGTAAAATAGGTGGGCACAGGTATTACAGAACCCGGGATCCTCCCCAAAGGGACACATAGTGTTTGTAAACACCGTCCGACATTCCTTGTTTGTAAGTGTTGTATGTACTGTTGATGTTGATTAAAAAAGAAGTTTATATCTTGATTATTTTGTTGTCTAAAGCTAAACAAATCTTGCATGCAGCAGCTTTTGACTGTTTCCAGAGTGCTTATAATATACATAACTCCCTGGAAATTACTGAGCACTTTGAATTTTGGGTTTGTTTTGTTCCGTTTTTTTAATGTCTAAAATTGTCGGTTAATATATTATTTTACGTTCGAGTAATATTTTTAATATTGCCACATTCTGTAGTATTTTTCTTTGTATATTCCCAGTATGGCACACGGTACGAGTCACTGCCTTTTTGTTTTCTTTTTAATTATTATTTTCTATGGTATACGACAGTTTAAAACGCTGATTTTATTTCCCCTCCCCCTTCTCCTGATAACTCTTTCTTTGAGAAAGACAATTTTAATGTTTACAACAATAAAACAACAACAAAAAAATACCACGGAAACGAATGGCATCTCGTCTTCTTTCTGCCCAAGCGAGAAACTCCGCCGCCAGCACCCCCCTCCTTTTCCACGGGGAGGAAGAGGAGGAAAACCCCAGCCGGGAAGGTTGGTCCTTACCCAGAATTTGTATTTTGATAATTCTTTTTGCCTCTACCAGCAGATGCGGCTTTTGCATCCTGAGGGTGCGCAGCATCTCCGGGGGCGCTCGCCCGACGGTCGGGGACCGCATGCCGCCGGGCGAGCGCCCCCCGGGGATGCTGCGATGGGGGGTGGTGCGGATAAACCCCCATCGCCGCGGGAGTGATGGATGAACGGGCGTCGGGGCTCCGCGGCTTGGGTAGGGGACGAATCGGTTAAAAAGAAGAGTCGCGAAATGAACTAAGACCGGGTTTTTCTCGGACGATCAGCGGGGCCGGGGCTGGGGTTTGCGGCTTTAGCCCCGACACAAAACCCCCGCTCCCGTTTTCCCGCAGCTTGGGCTGTTTTCAAAAAAGCGGGGGGGCAGGACTTGCCTGTCCCATCCTCCCTTTATAGCTGGCTTTGGCATTTCATCCTCTTCTTCCCCGACTTTCCAGCCCCTCTGGGGGGCTCCGGTTCTGTCCCGGTCCCGGGGCGGGCGCAGCCCTGCCTGGACCAGAGCATCCTTTGGTGAGGGCTGACGGAGGGGAGGTTTTGGGGGCTCTGAAGGGTCCTCGGTCTCGGAGGGGAGGAGGCTGCGGGGGTCTCACCGAGAGAGGTGCAGACCTCTGGGAAAGGAGGGAAGGAAGGAAGAAGCCTTTCACAAAGGTATTTAGGAAAACGTTTGGAGTTGTGAGCTCGGTGCAGAGTGTGCAGCTGAAGGGATGATTTCTAAGTGGATTTATTAGAAGATTTTCCTTCTGTAGGCATGCAGCATTGCAGATTGGTGACTGTTTAATTATCCTAGCTCCGTGATGAAATCCGTGACTGCTCTTTCTGCTCGGCCCGTGCGGGGAGGCAGACAAACCCGGGCGGTTTTGCTCCCTCAGGGTTTCCTTTTTGTAGTTCATTGCCAGGCCGCTGGGCTGATCTGAACCGAACTTTTCTGCTGGTACAGTCGCCTGTCTCCTGCAGAGATGCTCCTTCGATGCACTGGTGTGTAAGAACGGGGTTTGGCTGCTTGATTTATCTAAAACTCCCATTTCTATCCCCAGTAAAGCCCAAACAGTTGCGTTGTGAACGGGCTTGATGTTTCTCTTACAACCCAGGAACTTTCCTCCTCCCAGTGTGTAAGATTACACTGAGGAGTAATTTTCCAAAAAAATGCTCGGGTTTACAAACTTGACAAACTGGGGCTAATTCAGGCCAGGTGTGTGCTTATACAGCACCTTGCATTCACAATTTAAGCTTCGTTTATCCGAGGCCCTGGATAAGGCAATGTATGCCCTGCACGCGTTGTGCTTCCAGTTCCTCGCGAGCACATTCACGTGGAGTAATTCTGATTTTTGATAATCTGGCTTGACCGGTGACTTAGGGACGAGCAAGCATCGCGACGTGCTCCGAAACGGCCCTTCCTGAGCTGGGAAGATGAATTACTGCAGGCACGAGGGCCGTGCAGGAGCTTTATTAGTTTGGGGATGCAATCAGCAACACTTGCTTTCTTAGTCCGTTACCTAGTTATCCTCATTGCATATGTCACGTACGCAGGGAGCAGCCGGGAGGAATTGATGTCGCGGGCAGCTGAAGCCAGAGAATTCGTGGTTTTTGTAATTTTTTTTCCCTTCTGGCTTCGCTTTTGTGGCAGAAACCTTGCGCTGGCCACACGCGAGAGCGCGTCTGATGCACCTGTAGCTGATTTTTTATGTATAAGTAAACCCACCGCTGCATAATCTGCACTTGCTGAAACGTTAGCCCTAAGTAACCTTTCCGGCTGGTCGCGGTGCGGAGGGAGATGTTGGTATTCATGAATGTTTTGACATATTTGACATTTTCTATATGGAGTGCTCCGGCTCTGTGTTCCTGATTTCCTCCTGTCTTTGCTCCCCTGTTTTAGCAGTAACCAGCAGCCTTCCTGGGCTGCTGCCCTCGCATCGCTTTGGAGGCAGAAGAGTGGGTCTGCAGAGAAACTTAAGCTTCGCGGTTTGCTTTTAGAATTATTTTATTTCAAAGTATGCGCCTGGGCAAATAATGGGATTATTGCATTTTAATGCGGCGCAACCGTGACCAGAAGAGCTCTTTTTGACAAAACAGGTGATTTGTGTTCTCCTTCAAAAGAAGCCGGTCTGGCATGCAGATTTGTACAAACCGGAGGGCGAGGGGTTTCTGCGTAACCGGCACTCGATGTAAATGTGATATAACCGCATTCGGTTTGTTGCGGCGCAGGCGAGGCAGCCCTGCGTGGTTCAGGCAGGTGATTTGTGGCTGTCCGAGCTCCCAAAGCGATGTTCTCTGAGATGGGGAGCGTGCCGGGCTGCTGGGAGGCTGAGGAAACACTGATTTTGGGTGGATGTAAACACTACGTTTAGCTGAATAGTGCCTGATAGGATAATTTCTAATTTTTATCCGTAGATGCAGTGTTCTACACAAGACCAAATCTCATTAGTAAATGTGGGACCTGTGCTAAGATGACTTCTGTGATGGTAGCTGGGTGTTTGGTCATTAAGGCTTTTCTCCTAAACGCCCTCTTTTACGTCTGAGCGGCTCTGCGAAGGGAGGAAGAGTTTAATAAGGAGAAATGTTTCTGTTCAGGGGAAACGATACCTGGAGAAGTGCTGGGTGTAGATGCGCAGCTTTTCCACCTTGCCTCCCTCGGTGGGACCGGGGTGGTGGGGATCGCAGTCGGTTTTCGGCAGTGGTGGTTGGGGCTGCGTGTGTTAATGCTCCAAACCACAGCACTTCATGTCTGGCGATGGAAGAAATGGCTTTTACAGGGCAAAGCTGCTCAGCAGCACTGGCAAAAGCAGCTTTTAGTGCTTGTTGCATGTTTTATTGAAGGCGTAGGGCTTGTGCATATTAATAAGCACCTAATGACATTACTTAGTTAATTTTTCTTGACTAACTTGGTTTTCTACAAAGAGACAATAATCCAAAACTTTAATTATTCTGTCACGTCAATGTTCCATGCAGAACACACTGCATGCTACAGCCACCCAGCCAGAAGTGCAGACAACAGGACGTGGCTGCAATCCGGTTCTAAAATAAAGGACAAAAAGTCTTTTCCCTGTGTTCCCACTCTCCAACCACATTTGTAGAAGTGCCTGGGTTTTGTAATCATCAAACCCCGCAGAAGTGCCTGTTTTTAGTTACCAAAACAGCCGCTCAGGTGGCGACCTGGTAATGGCGCACGTCAGGCGCAGGGCGAGTGTCACCAGTGAGAGGGAAAGGCCAGGCCTGCGCCGGTGACGCGTCCCTCCCTGGTGGCAGAGATACAGTCCCTAAAACCAGGCGCCCTCCAGCTCCCTTGAACAGAAATAAAGCGAAGCGACAAGCTCCGGAGCAGCGCTCCGAAGGCCACGGATGGGGGGCTGCGCCATGGGGGAGCAGGCCGCCGTGGGAGGAGCAGGCAGTGGTGTCAGCCCCTTTGGAAATGTCCCGGCCGTGGGGAAGGGGTGTCACCCTGTACCAGGACAGGTGTGGGGAGTGGGGCTGATGCCGAAATGGGGGGTCTTTGTATGGTGGTACCTTGGTTTCAGCTGGGCCTGGGGCTGAGGGTGGCCATGAGGGGCCACGCATGGCC